TTCCTCAACTTAATGTGTTGCTTAAAATAATCCTTCTGCATCCAGTATGTGACACTGTGAGTGTTGCACGGCCAGATACGGCTCAGCTGACTCAGATAAGGAGATATATGATACATTATGTGGTGATATGCCCGTGGACTGTACTTAATGTTACTCTGATCCGGTTACTTATGTTGTGGCAGATATTTAAGTAAGCTTTCTTAACGCTAATGTTCTAATAGTCAGATTGCTCTGAAGATGGGAGGTGATATTCTATTAATGTTCACGTTCACACAGTCGGTGATTTCTGCCGGCCGTCTTTCCTGCAACGGCAGCTTTTCTGTATTTCCTTTCTCCTGTAATATGACTTGATCGCTTTTAACTCCGCACACTGAGCTCTGATTGGTCAGCAGGCAGTGCTTTCACTGAGTTGAGCTCTTAGCCTGCAACCTAACCTGCTCCGGGGCAGGTTAGCCGCTCAGCATCAGTTACCATGGAGATCTAGCCCGCTAAAAAGAGAACCAGCTTCGTAGGACCGGAAACCCAGAGTTTTCCCTGAAGTTAGCCGCTAAGAGAACATCCTGCTTCGTAGTACAGGCCTCTGTTCATTAAACACACCTGTCCTCACACCTGTTCAGTAAACACACCAGGTCAGTAAACACACCTGGTCAGTAAACACACCTGTCCATTCTCAGTCCCTCTGAGGGCTTCAGATCCAGACCAACCATCACTAAAATCCGTCATCCAATTAAAGTGGAGTTCAAAAGTGTTTGTTTAGCTGTGATTGGCTGAAGATCTGCTGTGATTGGCTGAGGCTCTGCTGTGAATGGCTAATGCTCTGATTGGCTGATTTTCTTCTGCAGAAGTACCGTGTCCTGGTGTATAACGGGGATGTGGACATGGCCTGTAACTTCATGGGGGACGAGTGGTTTGTGGAGTCTCTGCAGCAACAGGTAACTTTAACATTATACATGTTCCTCTGTGTGTGTGTGTGTGTGTGTGTGTGTGTGTGTGTGTGTGTGTGTGTTTCCTGTGTGTTTGTGGTGCGACCCGTGTATGTTACCTGTGGGGTTTTACCTGTGTTGCTTCCCGTGTGTCTCAGGTGTGTGTGGTGTTACCTGTGTGTGTTACCAGTCTCTCAGGTGTGTGTTTACCTGTGTGTGTGCATGTTGTGTCTCGTGTGTGTGTGTGTGTGTGTTACCTGTGTGTGTTACCAGTGTTTCAGCTGTGTGTGTGTTACCGGTGTGTGTTTCAGCTGTGTGTGTTACTGTGTTTCAGGTGGAGGTGCAGAGGCGTCCCTGGCTCTTTGACGATGTGAACGGTCGGCAGGTCGGAGGCTTCGTCAAAGAGTTCGACAACATCGCCTTCCTGACTGTGAAGGTAAGCGCCTCACTTCCTGTGATGTCATCTCTGTGGGCGGGGGTCTTACCTGTCTGTCTAATGACTGCGTCTATGATCGAGTGATATTTACCTTTTTTAATATACATTTAAAGAAATGTCGCCATTATTAAACTATTTATTGCAAATTAAAACTGAGATTACATTTTTTTTTCCCAGTTTGACCTTTTGATTGGTTCTCCTACAGGGTTCTGGTCACATGGTTCCATCAGATAAACCAATCGCTGCCTTCGCCATGTTCTCCAGATTCATCAAGAGGCAACCCTACTGACCTCTGACCTCTCTGTGACCCCCGTTCAGTTTGGGCTCTCTGGGCATTTATGTTTGTTTATATCTTTCTTCCTGTCACTGCCAGCCAATCAGCTGCCCTTACAGCTTTTAACATTTTTGTAAATGAATCGCCTCAACCTCCAGCCAATCACAGCGCTCCACTCGGCTGTTGCCATGGAAACGAAACTGCCGCCTGTTTATGTTTGAATGTGAATCTTGTTTCTGAATAAAGGGAAAACCAGGAAATAAAGTCTGAACTCTGACCTTCATTTCTAACGTTTTATACATCGAACTGATTTATTAGTTATAGTAATTGTACTTGAGTAAAAGTAGAAGTACTCAGATCTTGTACTTGAATAAAAGTAGAAGTACCAGAGTGTAGGAATACTCTGTTACAGTAAAAGTCCTGCATTCAAAAATGTTCCTCAAGTAAAAGTAGAAAAGTATTCTCATTAAAATATAGTGAAAGTAGCGACAGTAAAAGTAGTCATTGTGCAGATTGGTCCATTTCAGAATACAGGACTGTCTCAGAAAATTAGAATATTGTGATAAAGTTCTTTATTTTCTGTAATGCAATTTAAAAAAACAAAAATGTCATACATTCTGGATTCATTACAAATCAACTGAAATATTGCAAGCCTTTTATTATTTTAATATTGCTGATTATGGCATACAGCTTAAGAAAACTCAAAAATCCTATCTCAAAAATTAGAATAGTTCCTCAGACCAAGTAAAAAAAAAAGATTTATAACAGCAAAACACAATCAAACATTTGAAAATGTCCATTAATGCACTCAGTACTTGGTTGGGAATCCTTTTGCACGGATTACTGCATCAATGCGGCGTGGCATGGAGGCAATCAGCCTGTGGCATTGCTGAGGTGTTATGGATGCCCAGGATGCTTCAATAGCGGCCTT